AATCTGTCACCCCAATAAATTCAATTTTAAACTCACGTCAGACAAACCAGTTTATGTGGAGTAAGATTCACACCCAATACATTATTGCTAATTTCATGTTTTAAAATACTTGAAATCCTTTTATCTTCATGATCTCATTTGATTTTCAACATCCCATGAGAAAGGCTGAGTAGTTTTAAGATTCTCAACATCCTAATCCAGTAGTCTTAAGTGTACTCCCATGGAATTCTGGTGTTTCCCCAGTGGGATCAATGTGTTACATACACTACGATATCCAGCAGATGAGGGAAAATAGCCAAGTTCTCAAGTTTGTATGGAAAAAACTAAGTTAATGGGTATTTCAATTTTTAGCTTTTCTTTCATAATTTTTCATAGCTCTTTGGTGTCTGCTATAAAATGTACAGGTAGTAAAATTTTCAGAACTTTGCAATAACTTTGTCATGTTTTGTTCAACTTTTGTTCAGATATAAAGCCTTAGGCTATGGTTTTTATAACACATATATTCTCATATTTTGGGTGAATTTTCTATTTAAGATGCTGAAATTAAATGACACAGTATTACATAAGCAGCAAGCAAGGTGTTACAGAACATGATTTCCAGGCAAGTTTGAGAAAAAAACTACAGGAGTGCCCTAGTGGTTTGGCTCAGTAGATAAAGCGTCGGCCTGCAGACTGAAGGGGTGCTGGGTTCGATTCTGATCAAGGGCATATGCATGGTTGTGGGCTCAATCCCCGTGCAGGATGCAGTCAATCAATGATTCTCTCTCATCACTGATGTTTCTATCCTCCCTCTCCCTTTCTCTCTGAAATCAATAAAAATATATATTTTTTTAAAAAAACAACAACTGCAGGCGTCAACTCTCTCCTATTGAAGAAGAAACTGAATCCCCAGTGATGAAAAGACATAGCAGTTAACGCGATTGTGTGGCAACTTCTAAATGCATCTTCAGGTTCTATATGCAGTGTGATCCCTTCACACTGCAAGATACCGAGTCTGCCCAAGAGCACTTCTAACCCAATGGAGGAGTAAGGGGAGGGCAACATTGGTGCACCAGGTCTTTAGGCCCTTGCTGTTAGGCTTCTCTACCTCTTACCTAATGGCCCCTGGACACTGGCACTGAAAAAGAAGCCTGCACATTTGAATGGCATACTAACTGTAGCCGTGCACACAGTCACGGAGTCATTGTTTTAAATTGTTTTAATTGAAATGACAATAAAATAAAAATGTAAAAGAACAGTGACCATTTTAATCAAACTTTTACTTTACAAATATAAAAATATAACCAAAACTTCAGTTTCTTTTTATACATTTTCTATATTTTTATACGAGAAAACTTAATATGAGAAAAGTTCTCCAAGCCCAATTATAAATGATGCCTATACTCTAGGATGTGAATACAGTAACCAAAAGTTTAAGTTTATAAATGTAGTGATATTTTCCTCAACATTTCCCCAATTTACCTCTAGTCTAACAATACAGCCCATCATTAAAATACAAACTACACCTAAACTGGCTCAATCTAGACTAACTTAGGCTTTAGTCTGGTTGTGTTTTTTTTTGTTTTCACCAAAACAAGCCTTATAAATATAGTACAAGCTAATACTAAAGTGTCTTTTATGGCTCAAGTGAAAATTACAGTATTCTGTTTCTCATCACATATTTAAGCAACAAAGGGATATTGAAGTGAGTCCAGTTTAACCCAAATAAGTGGTAGAAAACAAGTGGAATAATTATGGAAAATGAAACCTTATGCTACAGAAGCTGACTTGCATTACAGTCAAAAACCACTAAACCTCTCTGGCCATGCACACTCTGACAGTCTTAGTGATGGGCACATACTGTCCCCAACACTATAAACTAGTAAAAACATTAAGTCTGAGGAACTCCCATGTGAAAAGCTACACCATCATCATCTCAAGTGACCTGAACAAATACTTAAAAAACCGCTTGCTGGCCTGCTGAATCTGGAGGGCCTCGACCTCTCACTTCTAATTAATTATGGAAGGAAAAAAAATAGACCAATTTATTTTATCCAAACAAAATGCTCCCTTAAAGGAACTCTTAAATATCCAAAGTAATAATTGAGCCACACAACGCTAGTTACAAGGTAAGACAATGATAAAAACCCAGACCTGCTCTTAAAAGTACAAATTCACAGAATCATCATTTGCCATTTTAAGTATCACCTACGTCTTAAAAAATCACAAGTCTTGCCCTAGCCGGTTTGGCTCAGAGGATAGAGCGTCGGCCTGGGGACTGAAGGGTCCTGGGTTCGATTCTGGTTAAAGGCAGGTAACTCAGTTGCAGGCTCCTCGCCAGCCCCGGTCCTGGCCAGGACTCGTGCAGGAAACAACCAATTGATGTGTTTCTCTCACATCGATATTACTGTCTTTCCCTCTTTCCCACTCTCTCTAAAAATCAATGGGGAGCCCTAACCGATTTGGCTCAGTGGATAGAGTGTCGGCCTGCAGACTGAAGGGTCCCAGGTTCGATTCCGATCAAGGGCATGTACCTTGGTTGTGGGCACATAGGGAGTGTGCAGGAGGCAGCTGATCGATGTTTCTCTCTCATCGATGTTTCTAACTCTCTATCCCTCTCTCCTCCTCTCTGTAAAAAATCAATAAAATATATATAAAAAAATTAAATTAAATTAAATTTAAAAAAATAAAAAATAAAAAATAAAAAATAAATAAATATCAATGGGGAAAAAATAACCTCAGGTGAGTATTCAAATAAATAAAATAAATCACAAATCTTCACCACTTAGAAAAAAATTCATTTTTGTTCAAATGGGTTTTCAATGCTAAATATGATTTAAAACATTTGAGTAAAACTTTATTTTTTTCCCCTCAATCTATTGAATATTTCCCAGTGCCATTTAGTAGTTTTATATAAAATATACACTACTTGGATTACTCAGGGAAAATAATATGACAAATATTATAGTAATACAATACAAAAGAGCACTCATTTATAAACAAACCTGAACATGGAAGGCAGTCAAAAATATATCAGTTAATCAAGAGCTCATTTAAAAACTATTCAGTATTTAATATGTAGAGACTTGGAATGCACAAGTTAAGACTTAGTTCTTGAAGAAGTGTGATAAGTTTATTTATACAAGACCTTAGTGTTAAACAGTGTCCTTGAACCCTCTTCTAATGCTGTAGGAACACATCATATTTAAACATCCCTTCCAGAGGTTTTCAATGCAGTGTTGGAATACAACAAATGACCAGTTCAAATGCAGTTTTGAAAATTTATGTTTGTGTGTTATGAGTATTACATTCAAAACCAGATCTCTTACAGTCCAAGGTTAATCATCCAGCTGGCTTAAATGAAAGGTTTTTCTCACCTCGACCCCAGTGGATGACTGACTCAAGTACTTACGCTGGAAAGCAGTGATTAAAAAAGAATTTCTAGGTCAGAGCTTAAGTTACAAAGGACATGAGTGGCCTCAAATCAGATGACACTCTTCAATTCACTCCTTTACTGACAGCACTTTATAAATCACACCCCCCCCCCAAAAAAAAGGCTACCTCTTTCCACCCACCCCAAATGGCAAGAGCTAATGTGGTCTGGAATGTGGTCACTTGTAGCTTTTCCCTCGGATTCCAGAAGCAATCATGGAAAGTGGGCTGGATTACGCAGTTTCCAACTCTGCCTTCCCCAATGTTTTAGGACTCAGCTAACCAGTGAGCTCACCAATAAAGGAATTAATTAGAAAGATGCTAATGTAAACCAGAGGGCAGGACTGTTAGCCCTTGAGGGAAGACTATCCACAGAACTAGTGGTTTTTTCAAAGGAAACCTGCTCATTTTTGGTCCTGGAGTGTGGAGCTCACCTACTACTTGGGCAGAGACCCAGTTACAGTTACTCCTTGATATGCAACCATGTGAAGGTTTGACATGTAAATGAATTTGCATGTTTATAAATAAAATTGCCCAGGCACTCTTCGTCTGACTTTCTCAAGTCTAAATAGGGAAAAACATGATACAGCTTTCACATCAGAACAGCCCTGTGATCAGTACCATAAAGTTGTAAGAACCAATCAACAGTTCATCTCTATTAAAAACTTAACTTGCCAATCTCTTTTAATAGCTGTATCTTGCAAGATTTCCTTTACATTAAGCCTGCAGTAAATAAGTGTGTAATAAGGCATACACAATATATTTTCACCATTAAGCAAAGGCACAGCCAGCAAACTGCCCTAAGATTTGTTTTTTTATTCCTTTAAATTTGACATTAATTTAGCAGTATTTTTTAAAGTTTTTAAAATTTGTTGTTTTTCTCTTAGGCTGACAAACATCTATTCCTTATCCTGTCCTTAGATTTCAGATTATTCCAACATTACTTTGAAATATTACTTCTCCACTGGGTCAGTTGCTAAAATCAAATTTTCACCTCTATGGACACCACTTCAAGTTAATTGAAATAACTAACTTTGCAATCCAAGAGTTCAAAACCTAACTCATTCACTTTCATAAACTTCCTTCACAGACTGCCACTTTACCATGGCCCTAAGAAAAACCAAGACACAAATTCAGAACAGCACAAATAATTAATACCCTGATTATGTGAAGAAAAAAACTCTAAATGAGCTCTAGATCCATCTCTTTTTATACCACTCCCCATGACTTTCCCAAACCTACCCCATTTCAATGGTTTCCCTTATGTTTAAGGTCCATTGTTTATAAAGTAAGGTCTGGCTGAACCAGTATAAAATGTACCAGTCAGTAACATACTGGGAATTCTGCTGTAATACAATGCATCAGAGTGTAAAGTTTGGTACGGGATTTGCAGCTTGGACTCATTCAAGCCAATCTAGTTCCCAAAAGTAACAGAAGATCCTCATCACAAAGATCTCTAACACGGCCTTGGAGTGTACCCTCAAGAGTGGTACCCAAACAAGGGTCCCATCAACTTCATTGACCTAAACCTGCCATTGTCTCTGAACACTCATCAGCCTAAGGGGGGAGAAAAACACGATCCTCACCTGTAAGAATTTTACAAGTTTAATGTGAAATTAAAAAAAAAATACAAATAGAAAGAAGTCCACTTTTTTTAATGTACAAAAACATATGAGTAGAAACAAAAGCAAATTAAACATTATCACGTATGTTTACACCACTATCTAGGTTCTTCATATCAATGTTACTATTCAAACAATAGAAAGCAGGTGGCAATTTAGGGGGTAGGAAAGAGATAAAACAAAAAACCTCTTCTACCATGTTTTTTCTAGACTGTGCAGAGCTGTGCTCACAGAGACGGCTTCTTTTACTTCTCCGCTGTGCAGGAATTCAGTTGTATATAAAATTGAACCTGAATTTTAAAAAGAACAACAGCTTTATTAAAAACAATATCCTTTACATAGTTTCTACCTTAGATCAGCAATTTTCAACCTCCTTCATCTGATGGCACACGTAAGCTAACCACTAAAATTCTGCAGCACACCAAAAAATATATTTTTGCTGATCTGACCAAAATAAAAATAGGTATAATTTTGATTTATTCACACCAGATGGCTACTGTGTTGGCTGTCACTTTTTTATTTGACAATCTAAGGGAAAAGAGGTCAGTGCCCCCAACTAAGTAGTCAGGTATTGCAAGTTTTAAGAATTCTGCAGCACACTGGTTGAAAAATCACTGCCTTAGATCAGTGGTCGCCAACCAGTGGTCCACACACTGGTTGAAAAATCACTGCCTTAGATCAGTGGTCACCAACCAATGGTCCACGGACCACTGGTGGTCCGTGAGGTCTGAAAGGTTGGCGACCACTGCCTTAGATGATAAAAAAAATTTGGACATTTCTACCCTCCCTTGACATTTTTGGCATTTTCTACACCGAGACACACTTTTCTCGCACCGTCACATCTTACACATTAAATAACAGTGCTACTGAAACTTACAATAATAATAATGAGAGTCTAAATTTGATTAACTATCCACTAATAGGTTCCCTGAGGGAAGGAAAAGATTTTACACTTCATTGTATTCTGACCACTCAGCACAGTTCCTGGCCTGATAGGTGGTGTTTAAATAAATGAATAATATGACTTTTTTTCATATCCCATTTTTCAACCAAAGCAGAGGAGTAAAAGATGAAGATTGATTAGTGTAACAAAACAGAAAGCCCAATTTTACTCAAGAAGCTTTAATAGAAGGCAAGATGACGACTGGAATTGTTTCTAAATTAACGTTTAGTAAGCACTTACCAGGTGCCTGGCATTATTATAAGCACTTTACGTGTGTTATTTCACTGTTTCTCGCAATTCTATGAAGTGGGGACCACCATTTACAGATGAATAAAGAGGCAAATAGGTATGTATAACCATTTGTCGTAGCCGAACTGTCAGGAAGTATTGAAGGTGGAAATCAAATCCAAACACTGACCACAGAATCTGTATTCTAACCACCATGCTATTCTGCAATTCCTAGCTATGGTTGGCTCTAAGTTCAACCACTATGAGTCAACTTAAAAAAAAAAAAGCATTTCTCATCACTCTGCCTTAAAAAATATATATATATCAAATTCCATGTAAAAATCCAGGACGTAATCCCATATGCCCCCAATTTGGGCCTAAATACAGTTCCAGAAAGGAAAAAGAATATATTACACCAAGAGATTCAATCCCCACATTTTTATGTAGGTAACTCTCTTTGTATTGTACATTGCTGACTACAATTTTTCCATGGCTTCTTTGAATGAAGACTTCAAACTTAACTGTACAGAGTTGTAAATTTGGGGAAGAGCAGTTACACAAATACCATGTCAGGCCACACGTTAGGGCCACTTTTGGTCAGTCATGTTTAATCTATGGCTTGCACATGATGTAAGGGTACATCTACTGTCTTAACTTCCTTAAAGACCAAAATTCATGAACTATCCCTTCTCAAGTGGCTCGGAGTATTTTAAATCTGGCAGCTTAGTCAAATCAACCACAAATGTTCAACATTCCATACCTGCTCAAAAGCTGAGGGAGACTAGAAATGATGGGTCCATATCCTGGTGCGTTGTCATACAATTCAAACAACGGTGCAGCTACCAGCTTGTAATTTTTAGGGACTGCAAACAAGGCTAAAATAAAACAAAGCAGTACTCATTTTCTCTAATTTCTTATATAATCAGTTTCCACTTCTTTTGTAATAACCAATTTTACATTTGAAAAACATTTGTGGAAAAAGATAATCTCAATACATTTTGGTTCTGTCTTTTAAGCAAATTCATAGTGAGAGCTTTGAAACTGACTTAAAGAGATCCATGCTATTAACAACCAAGAGCACCTTATAAAAGTTCTGGCCCTGAGAGGAAGGGGAGAAGTAATTTGTAATTTATTTTGGATTCCCCTTTAAGAATATTATAAGAAATGGGATAATTATTTGTTTAAATGCACAAGCCTAAAGATGCTATTTTTTAAAAAACAAATCATCTGGTACTTGAGGGTCTAGTTAAACTTACTTTCTCGCCCTAGCTGGTTTGGCTCAGTGGATAGAGCGTCAGCCTGCGGAATGAAGGGTCCCAGGTTCAATTCCGGTCAAGGGCACATGCCTGGGCTGCAGGCTCAATCCCCAGTTGGGGGGGGGTGGGCATGCAGGAGGCAACCAATCAATGATTTCTCTCATCGATGTTTCTATCTCTCTCTTCCTCTCCCTTCCTCTATGAAGTCAATAAAAATATTATTTATTTTAAAAATAAATAAACTTACTTTCTCCCCAATAGTATATGACTGGCATATCTATGAGAAAAACTAGGTAGTTCTATATAAACTTGCTTTGTGTTTTTAAAAAACTCGAGGAAGTTGAAGACAAACAGAAGTATCCTTGAAATTACTCTATAAAAGTTTTTAAAAATGGCTGCATTCAAAAACAAAATAACTTACCTTTCTCTTGAAGTTGAACCAAAAACAACTTCTTATGTTCCTTCGGTTTTGTAATATGTGCAGGAATATATGGATACTAAAATAACAAGAGAATAATTTGTTGTTGCCAAATCTTCCGTTTATACCTCCATGCCTCTATCAACTCCCATTTTAGACATTAAGCCCAAATATCAACCCTCTGAGACCAAGTTCCTCACAACCCCAACATAATTTTAACACATATCCTGTAACTTCATTTATTTCTTTACATGTTTATCCCCCAATACAGTGCTGCTGAGAGAATGAGAATCCTTTCTAGTCTTCTCTTTACCAGGATCTAGTACCTAACAGATGTACTAATGAAGAAATGCTTTAATAAACATAAAACAACGAATAGTGAACTACTCAACCACTCAAGACAAATAGGTAGACACAGGATTTACAGCTTGAGAAATTTACAACACAATTAAGTCTAATATTTGGTTGCTTTTTTAAAAAGTTGTTTGTTTTTCCTACAAATATCATTATTAAGTTAAATTTTCTAGAACCCTGATGTGCTCCTTTTCTTTTAGGCCTTTTTCTCTAGTCTTCATCTTGGTGTTTAAGTCAATTGTGCTTTACAAAAAGACAGAGATACAAAGATGGTGCTCTTTTCCCCTTGACACCTAATCAATACCCCAAGTTTGCTAAAAACACAACCCTTATGTTATACACTAGCAGAGCCGACACTAGGGTTTAGTAAATTAAGGGAATTGTCCTAGGACCACGGTAGGGGACATGAATAAGACTATTCAGAAAGGAGCCTGGAGAACTTTTGGGTTCTGACTGAGCATTTTCCAGTTAGATCTAGGAATGTTCAAAAAAAAGTTTACAGTAATTGTTCTGTGCATCTTTTGACCAGGAACTTCATTCATTTCCAGATGAAATCCTACTTTCTTAAAGCCAACACAATTCTCAGGCAGTGAGCACTAGACAGAACAATCTTTAGATAGGCCAACATCTTGAGAAATTCTTGACCTGGGATGTCTTGCCATGCAAAGAAGCTATTAAAGTCATAGAGCCTAGCCAAAAGAATTCAGGATCCAACTTCAAGTATCTATTCTTTCCTACACAAACTATACTTCAGGGTAACCAAGTACTTGATGGGAAAAGTTTCTCTTTATTTAAGTATCAGAATACCAATGAAATGAAAAGATCCAGGACTTGTTATTAATGAGCTAATAACATTACAAAGGAGACAACCAGACATTACAACATTCCTGATAAAAGTTCACAATACCACCCTTGATAGCCAACCTCCAAAATGACTCCCAAAGGTCCCAGTCTCCTTCCTGGTATCCACACCTCTGTGTAGTTGCCTCCCACAATGTACTATGTGGGTTTGTGTGACTGACAGTATGAGTAGAACTCATAATATGTCACCACCAATATTAGTTTATAACAGACTGTAGCTTCCTACTTGGGCACTCTTTCTGTCCAAGTCTCCATCTTGAGGCTCACACTGGGGGAAGCCAGCTGTCTTACTGGGAGTTGCCCTATGGGGATGCTCTCATGGCAACTGAGGAAGGTGTTAGGTCAACAGCCAAGAACGAGCTGAGGCCTTCAGTCCTACAGCCCAGAGGAACTGAGAGGTCTGCTAAGAATCACACATGTGAGCTTGGGATCAGATCCGTAAGCCTCAGTTCAGCCTTGAGATGACGCAATCCCAGCTGACGACTTGACCAAAATTTCACAAGAGACCATGAGCCAGAAACACCCAGCTAAGCACTCCCAGATGCCTGACCCTGAGAAACTAAGATAATAAATGTTTGCTGTTTTAGGCTGCTAAGTTTTGGGGTAATAGATTAGGCAACAATAAATAAACAATATTATCTCCTCTAGCGAGCCTTGTACTCCCCTCCCAAAAAATTGAGCCCAAATTTAATCTATTGATCTAACTATCAATTTACAGGAGAGGATAAAGAGTTACATGTTCAATGACAACAGGGAATGCAATCAGCAATGGAAACACTACATTACACATTACAAGGGGGAAAAAGAAAGACAGGGACTCTGGCGGGATAACTCAGTTGGTTAGAGCGTTGTCCCAATACGCCAAGGTTGCAAGCTCAATTCCTGATCAGGGCACACACAAGAATTAACCAATGAATGCATAAATGACTGGAAGAACAAATCATGTCTCTCTCTCTCTAAAAAAATAAAAAATAAAAAAAGACAGGGAACCAACTTGTAGATGTAAAAAATTCTTAAGAGATTATCCTAATTAAAATAAACTAACAATAAAATTTGAAACTATAAGGAATATGTGAACAGTGACTACGTTTAATGACATTATGGAATTTTTTATTATTTTAAAAAATCCTTATCTTTTAGAGACACATACTGGAAAATTTACTATTGAAATTATATCGAGGATTTGCTTCAAAACAATCTCAGTTGTTAACCGCTGAAGGTGGATGACAGGTAAAGGATATATTTACTCTATTTTCTGTACTTTTGTATAGATTTGAAATTTTCTTTTAAAAGAAAAAATGCTCAGAATTAAAATGTTTCATTTCAATTAGGAAGGGTAAAAAGGAAATTTCAAGTCAAAGTCTACTATGATCTTTTTATTTTATCTTACTTATTTATTTTTTTACTATGATCTTTTTAAATGGCTGGAATTAAACCCGTTTCCTACTTCCCCAAATGCCCAGCAAATACAACTGAACACTGACCTGAGGAGGTTCAAAATTTGGTCTCCACCAGTTACCAATGCAGTCATCAATGACCCAGTCTTGCAGGACTCCATCTTGACGACCTAGTATCTGTCAGAAAAGAAATGATACAGCCAGTAAGCAATAAAACATACATGCCCATACACTCTTCTTCAATGAAGAGATTTTTTTTTGGCAGCACTCCTAATAGATACATACTTTCCATATGGGCTTCCTTTCTATAATTTCTTATTTATTACTGTATGTGTCACCCTGCCCAAGACATACACTATTAGTTCAAAACTGGCAATCTAGCATTGACATAAACAGAGAGAATCCAACAAATATTGTTATACCCTGACTATACTTTAAAAAAAACCAAAGATAATCAATTACCCATATCAGCCAATGCTATACAATAGTTTTTATAAAATCAACTATGGCTTCTGTAAGTCACCCATCTGACCAAGTTATAAAAAGAAGTGTGCAAAATTCAAAATTTTCCTTTTTATGATTCTGTAAAACATTAAACTTGTATTGTTTTAATCAAAGCTGTAGTCTACATTTTAATTAGTCAAAAATGGTTCTAAAAGTTTCATAACAACAAAGAGCAGTTCCCTGTCCCACTCCACCCACTGGCTATAACTCTCAACTCTTAGCTGTTTTACCCTGTTATTTGCCTCTATTTTTAAAAGCATTCAAAATCCTACAGAGGCCTACCATGGAACAAAACTACCTGCATTCAGAGCTCCAGCATCAAGACCTACTAGATGTATAACATCAACAAGTTACTTGAACTTATCAGTAAAATGGAGTTAATAATAATACCTACTTCCTAGGGCTGCTGTGATAACTAAAGAAGTTATTGTATGTAAAACACTTAGGATAGCACAGTAAGTGCCCAATAAATATTGGCCTTTGTTAATCATTACTATTACATAAACACTTCAAGGAAAAAAATAAAAGTAAGTATAAGTTCAACTTCTGGAAAATAAACATTGTACATACTAACACTCTGGGATTTAAGTTTTATTTATTGAAAAGTAATCAAAATAAACTTATCCTTTCACAAGACATAAAAAGCCTAATTATCTAGTAAGTGGGTGGTATTAACAAGAGCAATAATATAACCGTCCAAGTGGTTAAATAGAAAAATACCTCTGTCATTAAGCGTTTTAGTCCTTCAACTTCGTCTTCTCCTGGGTTAAGTTCACCACCAGGTCTGCATAAAGGTTAAGAATTTCAGCTTTCAACTCAATACAATTTTGGGATAATAGGAAGAAGACAGTAATAGTTATTTCTATCAAGTAACTGAACATCACACATATTCCAGTGTCACATGATGAGGCAATCAAAGTGAAGGGGAAGAATATGCTAGAAATAAAAAGCTGAATTCACATTAATTCACAAGGCTAACAGTACACAAACCCTAGTTTTAAACAAACAAAATATGTAGCATAATGTAAACATTACGTAATTGCTGACCATCAGTCCATCCCAATCTCTTTTCTCTGGAAGCTATTTAGCGAGAGTGAAGTCTAGAAACAGCCACAGAGCAATGAACCACATTCTTTTAGTCTGAAGAATGGGGCATTTTTCCAGAACGCCAACCTAAATATTTGAGACCTCTCTTTTGGTACAATCTGGTCAAATAGTTGTGAACTAAACGTATACCAAGAAATTTATAAGTTTAAATGGTAAAACTAAAAATTTATCCATAAAAATGTAAGCCATTTCAAGAATAGGTAACACTATTCATCCTAAGAAATAATATCCATTGTTCTTAGCGATGCTACAATGACTTCTAGTAATAGAACTTGGACCAATTTGTTTAACAGGGCTCCTATCAAGCTCAGTCATTAATATCAACAATATACAGAGACATGTGGATTTCTAGTTAGGCAATAAGTGAGCATTGCCCTCAAGAAAAATTAATTGATTTTTCTTTTTCTAAAGACTCCATGAACAGCCATGTTTGTTGAGTGAATACTATTCCAAAGCTGCATAAAACAACAACCTTATTAAAAGCTGTCTTGCTGTTAATTTCCAACAACACTTACAGTTTAAAGAAAGTTGTTCCCAGCTGTAGCAGTAGCACATGGGGTAGTCGGTGCTCATGTACAATCAGAACCCCTTCTACAGTCCTCCTCATTCCAATTTTATCAAATTCCTCCCTCATGCGTTGAAATCTGGCTGCAACAGAGCTGTCCTTCTCATAGAGGGGCTCTTTTGTACCAAAAGTATAATTGGTAAGAGGGTACCTGTGATCCAAAGACAAACATTACACATGAGAACTGGAGACCATAATTTACCATCATAGATACCAACCATACACATATACATATGTACGTATATAGAACATGTATACGGTAAATAGTGTATATATACTGTACTCAGAGACATAGGATTTGTCCAGTTACACAACTAGTTAATGAAACAGCAGAGACTGGAATCCAGATCTTGGAACTCTGAAGCTCGAGCTTCTATTAGATCAAGCATATATACCACTATCCGTAAGGCCCTTAAATGCTTAGTTATCTGGACATCTGGTAATCCTCTGGTTTTAGGTTGTGGCTAGTACCATAGCATTGCCAAGCTGGCTAATGTCCCTTTGGGCTCCTCTGACAGGTAATCAGAAATTGTATGAATCCTATTAGCTTAAATGGCTAATCTCTTTTGTCTAAAAGTTGAGCTACTACTTCCATCATCTCTTCCGTTTTTTCTACTTCTCCCAGTCAAGTACCCCAGGACTTTTTTAGTACCATAACCCTTTCCTCTTTAGATGAACTTTTCTTTCCCCTCTAAAACCTTTTAGCCTTCTGCATTTATTTCATTCGTTATCCTTATTCTTCCCTTCTCTTCATTCATTATCTTCTGCCCAATCTGAATATTCTCTCCTTCTTTATCAAAATATGGCTCATACTGTTGAAGACGGTTTCCATCTTGCCTACCAAAGATCAAATTTTTCCTTAAAAATACCATTTTTATCAAACATATCACCTTATAACCCCTCAATCATGAGACTTCTAGTAAGAAGCCCCTGGTTCTAAGCCTCTGAGTCAGAATGCTTTGACCACATTGTCCATCCCCAAGGTATCTATCTATTCTATAAAAATGCCTTGACATGAAGTCAGTAACTACGCAACTAATCCACTCTGCTATTCTTGAAAGGGGTTGCCAAACTTAAAAAGTTAGTTTGAGCCCAGCCATGATGGCTCAGTGGAGGTCAGGGTTTGATTCCGGGTCAGGGCACATGCCTAGGGTTATGGGCTCAATTCCCAGTGGGGGGCATGCGGAGGCAGTCGATCAATGATTATCTCTCATCATTGATGCTTCTATCCCTCTCTCTTCCTGTCTGAAATCAATTAAAATATATATTGCGGGAGGCGGGGGAAGGAAAGGACTTCAACTTATATCTTTACTCACACATGAATTGATTTACAACACGATTATTTCTGAATACTGTATTTATATAGGAGAGGAAAAGAACTGTAAATCCATCAACCCATAACTTTAAGGGAGCAAAGATTAAAACATTTTCACCAACTTAATTTTACGTAAGGGCTTAGTGCAAATTGATCCAATAATCAAGGCAAACCAAGGGAAAACTGAGTCCTGGTTCTAATCACCACTACAGGCTGTGCTTTCACATTGTTTAAAAAGGGAGCATTTGCCTTTCCCACGACATGGGAATCTTATGAGGATTCTTAAAAGCAGTGCTATGCAATGAAAATATATGATGTTAATGTATTCACTTGAATAGATGCAACTATCTACCAATTCCAGATTTCATAAGCCCCAAAGTTTTATTATCTACATTTCCAAGCAAGCATCTGTTTTGCCAAATAAAACAATAACCATCTTTTCAATTTCAATTCGCTTTTGAGGGAGGGAAATTCATTGATTTCAACATGAAGCAGAGAAAACATCTAAGGTGTCTATCAAAACACCAATATCAGCCCTGGCTGGTTTGGCTCACTGGATAGGGGGGGGCAGCCTGGGGACTAAAGGGTCCCAGGTTCGATTCCAATCAAGGGCATGTACCTTGGTTGCAGGCACATCTCCAGTAGGGGGTGTGCAGGAGGCAGCTGATCGATGCTTCTCTCTCATCGATGTTTCTAACCCTCTATCCCTCTCCCCTCCTCTCTGTAAAAAATCAATAAAATATATTTTAAAAAAAAAAACCAATATCAGAAAATCCTTGCACGTTTTTTTTAAAAAAAGTATGTTTTTACCGGAGACCTTCTGGGGATGCTCAACCTACTGAGGAGCCGCACATCCAGGGCAAACCCTTGCACCTTTTAAACACCGACCAGAATTAAGTGGCCATGTCCTCCATGCAGGCCAGCATCGCAGCGCCTCACAAACTCTCAGGGCAATTTCTTGAGTGAGACACAGCCCACGGCCAAGGACCTGCCACGCGAGATTCCTGGCGAGAGTGGCCTCGAAAGGCAATGGCTTGAAGTGCTCACGCGCAAAGGTGCAGATGACAAAACGCAGCTACAACCCCAGGGTTCCCGGGGGTTGCATTATAGACTCCTCCAGGGACTGCAAGCCCAACCGTCCCCGCACCCACCCTCCTGAGCGGCTGGATGCTCTCGCTGGGGCAGAGAAGACTTATGTGAATGCACCGGGCCGGCCAGAGAGCCCCGAGCCCACGAATGAAATGTGTGTGCATGAGCTGGAATGCAAAACAGCCGTTTTATTTAAAAAAACAAACAAACAAACAACAACAAAAAAACTAACGCTACGCGTTAGCAGTGGTTCTCAACCTGTGGGTCGCGACCCCTTTGGCGGTCGAACGACCCTTTCACAGGGGTCGCCTAAAACCATCCTGCATATCAGATATTTACATGACGATTCATAACAGTAGCAACATTACAGTTACGAAGTAGCAACGAAAATAATTTTATGGTTGGGTCACAACATGAGGAACTGTATTTAAAGGGCCAGAAGGTTGAGAACCACTGCGTTAGAGCTAGGTCTCGAAAACTGTTAGAAAGATAGACACCATATTTTGCGGGTTACCTGTGGGGAGGTGGAGGAAAGGATGAACTCAAAGCAAACTAGCGTTCTTCCCATGAATACAGGCGCATGGGAACCAGCCTTCCTCCGGAAGAAGAAAAACCCTCTCAAGGGGGACAGGATCTAATCTAACCCCTTGGCGCTGGCGAACGAGGAAGGGGCCTGCAGGGGGTAAAGGCGCGCACTGGCCAGCGGGAGTGGGTTGCTGG